CTGACGAGCCGCAGCCAAGGCACAAACTGGCTTGAAGTCGGTGTCGTTGTGTGGAGGATTTGTTCTTTCCACCACCTTTCCCGGAACCCTTGGTGCTACCTTTGGAGGGTTTGCCCAAACCTTTGCCCTTCTGGAAGGAGGTTGATGAAGATGAAGAAGAACCAAAACCCTTCTTACCATCGCCCTTGTCTTTCCCCTTCCCACCACCACCTTTGCCCTTACCTTCGCAGCAGCTCAGCAGCCGAAAGGTAGTAGCCACGTGACTGCGTGGCTGATGCCATCTTCTTGCTGGTGGCGGTGAAGGCCTCAGCTTGCTCTTCAGGCCCATCATCATAGCCCTCTTCAGGGGCTTGCTCAGGGACGCCATCCTCAAAGTCAGCTTCATAGTCATCAAACTGGTACTCGAAGGCATCGTCCAACAGGTCATTGGCATTCTCTGCGGCGATGTCATTCGAGATCTCGTAGGCCTCATAGCCAGTGAAGGTCTCAGGGACGGTGTTGTCCTCAGGAATCTCGTCTTCTTGGGCCTCGGTGTGCCAGGTTCGCCACTTGAAGCTCCCACCGGACCGACTTCGTCCGCGGCCATGGTTGCCACGGCCTCGGCCCTTGACATGGGTTGAGATCGCGGTGGGATGTCGTGCGAGGCCAGTCAAAGTGAGACCTGGAGGATATTGCACCTTGAGGGCATTGAGGATCGCGTCCATGTCGTAGCGATTTCTGGCCGCGAGGAGAAGCTGTGAAGTTGCTTGTTCGCTCATACGCAAACCATCCAACAGCTTGACCGCCCTCGTCTCTGAGGGATAGGCAGCAACCTTAGCGTCCTGAAGCTTCCTCTCGTACAACTTGTAGCGTCGCACGAAAGCATCAACGCTCGCCCTGCATCCTGGAGAGGTTCTCAAACTCCCGGATCAAACCGCCTCGGCGGTAAATCTCACGTTCACCAAAGGCGGCCTCCAAGTCCTTGAGAAGAACCTCGATGCCGTCATCCCGGAAATACTTCGAATCCGGGATCTCTTCCACCTCAAGCGCCGCATCTCCCGTCAGGGAGTCCAAAGCTCGAAGTGCCTGCTCGCTCTTGGGGAGGTACTCGGCCGTTATCAAGCGCCACCGCTCAAGAGCACGCCTGTAGTGGCGGAGACAGTAGGGGTCTCCTTCCACATCTCCCGCAAATGCAGGAGGTGGGGGTATGTGGCCTGAGCGCCACTTCTTCTGGCCACCACCTGCATTGCTGCCGCCATGCCCTGAGCCACGTCGTCCTCGGCGCCTCGTCGTTGAAGGGCTGCTCGAAGGTGCTCGAAGGGCGCTCTCTCCTTCTCCGAAGTCATAGATCTCGGAGGCATTTGTTCCACCATGATCCGCGCCACCAGCCTCGGTGAAGGCTGGGTCAACAGGATCAGCATCCCAAGCGCCGGCTGCTTCGTCGATCTCCTCGATCTCCTCGAGGTCTTCATCGAGGTCCTCATCGAACATCCACATGGCAGCTCGGGAGCGCAACGGCCGTGGTCAAGCCGTCGCTACCAATGCGAAAAGCAAGGTACGGAGCCTAGGAACCCTGGATCTACCACGGGGCTGCGCTCCAGCCTTTTCTCTTTGCGAGCTCGAGAATCCCACCCTCTGGGAGATATGGCAGCAGGTGAATGGCAAATCAGGGGGAACAACTCATGAACAAGACATCAAATTCGCAGTATGTATGTATGTATGTATGTATGTATGTATGTATGTATTTTTTCTAGAGTTGCTTAGTTGGGCCGTTTGGCCGGTTCAGGCTGGGCTTGTGCCTCAGGAGTTCCGGGGCCTCTTCAGTTGGTCTTCTGCAGGATTCATGGTGGTACTGCTACAAGAAGTCAACTGCTATGTCAGGAAGGTTGTCCTCTTCGGCTGTGTCAGCTGGTTGGCTGGGTGTCATGGCCAGTGTTGACATGCCGTGAGTGAGGGCTTCCTGTTCTGCTTCGTCCAAGGCCGTGGGGAAGTGCAGCCGCTTCGGTGTAGGACCAGAGTTGGCTGCTGCAGCAGGTGGGAGAGACTCTGAGCTATGGCTGCTTGACTTGTCTTGCTTCTTTTGAAAGAAGGTGCTTATTGGTGGCGTGTGTTTCCCACCTGCTCCTCGACAGGGCTTGTGAAAGGCCTGTGTCGCTATGATGCGATGTTGCCCATCCAAGTTCCATTGAGTGCCACATTGCGTGCATTTGACACGCTCGCCAAGTTGCCAGAGTGCATGGCTTGGGTGGCCATGGTGTGCAGCCTGAAAGGCTTGGTTGATGCAGGTGCTGTGGATGAAAGTTTTGAATGCCTCTTCATTGACCCGCTTGTGTATGTTGAGGTTGCACACCACACACTTCAGGTAGCCAGTGGTTTCGGCCAGTTGGTGTTGGCCTGGCGTAGGTTGCTCTGGTTGGTTGTCCAGCAGCGCCTTGATCTGCTGCATCCTGGTGAGTTTTCTGGGCAGTGGTTGCTCTGTGTCTGGTGAGTTGACTGCCTCATGGAACACCTTCTGAGGGCAGGTCTCGGCCAACCTGGTTTCCAGGATGTCAGCAGTAAGTCCTTGGTGCATGCGTAATCCACAGTTGCGGCATTGGTATCCGCTTCTTTGGCGTTGCTCCCAGTGGTGGTGCTCTTCGTCCCATGCCTGTCGACAGCGGTTGATAAGCTCCTTTTTGTATTGCTTCGTTTGCTTGCCTTGGTGCTTAGGAGCCTTTTGGTGCACATAGTGCTGGCTGTCAGCAAAGATCTTGCTGAGGCGTCGGACGGCATGCTCATAGATCATCTTGTGATCTTGGTCTAGGGTTTCCTGCCATTCCTCCTGTTTGCTGTCGTACAGGGTCTTGGCCCGTTCCCAGGCTGCCAGTGCTGTTTCCCTTTGCCTCCTCCTTAGTTGCGGCTCATTGGCTGGTTGGTCCGGCGTCCTGGTGTTTTTGCTAATGTAAAGCACCGTGACTCGCTTGAAGTCCTGGGGTGGTACTTCATTCAAGATGTCTTGGTAGGGTTGCCTCTGCTTTTCATGGTGCCAGGCTTCCCAGACGGATGCCAGCTGGACAATGACCTTGACATGGTCGGCGGTGTGGTGTGTGAGGGCTACCAATCCGGTGAGAATCGCCCGGACTTTGGTTTGTTCTCCGGTGGCTACCCCGGTGATGGATCCCAGCTTCTTGAGTTGTCCCAGAGCCATGTTGTGGGCACAAAGTCCGAAGATACACATCTGGCTGCGCTGGTCATAGGTGGAGGGAGTAGCATCCAGAGTGAATGCCCAGCCGCAGTGTTGTTGGAGCGGGATGACCTGCATGCCTGCCCAGCAGCCATGTCCCTGGAGTGGGTGCTGCTGAGTTCTTGCTTCTTGTGGTTCAAGAGGTATCCACCCATGGGCCCACAACCTTTCTTCATCATGACTGGTAATGCGGTCCATCCACTCGGGTGGCATGGGTTCATGGTTTTGAGTTTTGTGCCACTTGCATAGCCAGAGAATGTGTTTTGCCGTGGCTGGGACTTGGCAATGCGGACAGTTCTTGGTCTGGTGCGCATCTCTGTAATGCAATGCCGCCTGGACCCAGGTGTCAAGGTGGTGCTGTTGTTGTTGTTTGAGGTGCTTCCTCACTTGCCTGTAGGTGTGCCAGTCCAGTCCGGTCAGCAAGTCTTGGCAGTGTTGCTTACTGGCGAGTCTGGCGGTGCGCTGCTGTTGAGCTTCCCGAGTGAGGGTGCGCTCGATGACCCACCATGGTTGCTGAAGGTGGAGCTCTTCTGCCAGCATCAGCTTGGTTTCTGGCCGGTGCCAATGCAGTAGGTCTCGAGGTTGCCATCCCCATTCCAGGAGGTAGACAATCGTGGCTGCCAAGGGTCCTCGTACTGTGTACCATGGGTATTGTTTCTCCTGCAGCTGCTGTCTGGTCAAATGCCACGCTTGTTCAAGATTTGGCAGCTGGTCAGGTGGCCATGCTTGGATGAGGTGATGGATGGCTCTGATGTGCTGTATGATGACCTGGTCTGCAGGGTCGATGTAGCGCTTGGCATGGATATCGTAGATGACATCCAATAGGCCGCCCGTGTGATGGCCCAAGTGCTTTGCCATGCTGTGTCTCAGTGCCGCTCGATATCGTGGTGCAAAGCCTTGACTTTCGACACCCCACAAAGCAACGGGTTGAATGCCTCCCCGATGGAGGCGCAGCCGTACTTTGAGGGCTGGGATTTTGAGGCTCCTCAACTTGATTTTCCTGTGGTGCGCTTTTTTAATGCGCTGCTTCATGACCGGGATCCTCCTCTTGCGGGCTGCCTGATGATCAATGCCTAAGTCTCTCATGACTGGCGCGATCTGGGGATCGTTTTCTGTGAGCAAAGCCCGGAGTTCTCGATCAGTGGCCTTGTCAGTGGTGACAAATGCTGTCTTCTTTGGATTGACTTGAAGACCTAGTTGCTGGAGCCTTGCATGGAGGTCTCGGTAGGCGGCCACAGAGGCTCTCGCTGCCTGGACTGGGGTTTTGCTGGCCGTGTCAAAACCAACATCATCAACCCAGCTTGATAGGTGGATGTTGGGATGGGCTTGCTGCCATGGTTGGAGTGCTGGGGCAAGGACTGCCTTGGCCATGTATGTATGTATGTATGTATGTATGTAGGGATGGATGGATGGATGGATGGATGGATGGATGCATGGATGCATGGATGCATGTATGTATGTATGTCTGTATATATATATATATGTATACATATATATATATATGTGTGTGTGCGTATGTTTTTTACATTATTTATGTTCTTTTATATGTGTAATAGGAATCGTGGGGGCCTCAACGTCCAACAACAACCTGACATGTGCCGGGTGTCTAAGTCTAGCAAGTTGAATGAGTTCAAGTGAGCTGAAATGAATCTTGGCGGTCAATTCCGCAGTGCTAGCTTTCTTTGCGTAGAGGGAACCTCTGCAGATCTATATTGCATCACGTAAGCTGTGTGGTAGAAAGTACCACTCTGGGACTGGCAAGCAAATCAACATCATCAACCATTTGCTACCAAAGTGCGGTTTTTCGCCAGCACAAGGGCCCATCGAAGCGAACTTGGCTGCCAGTGGCCGCAGAAGAACTGGAACAAAAGCCCCCTGGAACTCAGGTTGACATGTTGATCAAACGCCACAAACAACCAGGCTGACATGAATCTGACTCCCCTCCCGGGCCTAGCAGCGCCTGCCATGTCCACAACTGGAGGATCTGGGAACCGTGGCCATCCAGCGTCCTAAGCACGGCACGGACTTCCATCTCATTCCGACGTGTCTTGTTGCTCAGCTCTCACATGCCAAGCCAAGTCTCTCATCAGGCATGGAGGCGCCGAGTGCAAAAATATCCAAATACCGGAAGCTGTCTGTCTTCTTTGCATCCATGGCCTTCGCCCAAAGGGTGCGAGGAAAATGATTGAGATCGGCTTACTCTTTTCGTTTAGGCGAAGTGTGTTTCCTGCCTGAGTCACCAGTGCGTTGAAGCGCAAGAACATGTCCAGCCTGCTGAATCCGGCTCCCAGGAAGAGGGTATAAGCACTAGCAATTCACCTACATCGTTCATCATCACGAGTGTTGCTCATCAAACATACAATGCCAAGCCGCAAGGGACTTCCAGCGTTTGTGAAGGAGTTGGTGGCTACAGCACAACCTCGAACTCCTGCACGTCCACCTGCAAGTGCTGGCATGGCACCAGTAGCAACCCCTGAACGGGCCAGTTTGGAGCCAAGCCCCATGTTGCAATCCTGTAAATAGCAGCCAAACTTACGAAACTTAGTCGTCATGAATGAAACTCGGGCTTTCACTTAAGCACACCTCCCCTCCACACATACAGAAAAAAAAACAGCGTGCACAGAAACACTTGGTTCTGTCGGTTGAAGGACAAAGGACTTTGCCGCGTTTGGACGAAACATTTCCGCTGTACGGCTTTCTGTCTGCCTGGTGAGCAAAACATCAGCATTCGATTGAGCACTGGCTCCTTAGCCAAGTTCGTCATGTCTCGGTGTGAAATGACATGACTTTGTTGGATTGGGAGTTCCACGGGATTCCACGGCATGCATTTTGGATCTTTTTGGTGCATCCCGGCCATCCCACGTGCCAATAAAATTGTCCAAATCCACCGGAACCGATTTCGAAAGGCAAGGCAGTGGCGCAGGTGGTAACAATAAACGGTTTTACAGTACATGTTGCATCATGCCAAGTGTCCATCTCATTTGTGAACATTGTCGCTACCTCATCCTCTGGCAAATCGATGAGATTGGGACGGTGGCAGCCATTGAATTTGATCCCATTGCACACCACATACCAGGCCACCACTTGCACCAAAATGCTGACCTGGACCACTGAAACGAGCACTGCAGATCAGGGTTTGCAGACTAGAAACCTTGCTATACCACTTTAGACAGGAGAGCATTCCAGTGCCTTTCAGCCAATCAAACAACAACAGGTCATATGGTCTGAAGCCATGGTATGATTCCTCCAGGTCCTGCCGTGGTCAGATCACTGGTCGGATCTTCTCTGGCCTCACTCATGGCCCAGGCGTCTTGAGCTTCGATGAGGTCCAAGGCGGTGCCAGTCCTGGCCTGAAGATGTGTACAGGAAAAACATCAAATCTATTGCGAATCTCCACAACTGAAGCTGGTTCACTCTGATTCCTTTGTAAATCTCTAATTGGTGGGTCTCCACCACTGATGGGTCTTAGTGTCCCATGGCAGCTGATGAATTCAACTGTTCAATAAGCGGTGGAAAACAATAGACATCTGTTTTCTGCGAAGGCAATGGAAATCTTACAAACTCGTCCAAGGTGCCCAGTAGAAGGACAAAAACATCGTCAATCGAATCCTGAAGCTTTCAGCCATGTCATGACTTGCGCAAGACCAAGAGTGCCCTCCACCCCCTCCCTCCACTCAGCAACGTCTTTGCACGTTGAAGTGCTGGCTGGCATAATGATCCAGGATTCTGGCTGACTCTCTGTCAAAACCAGTTTTGTGCTTTGCGCAGCCAGAATACATAAGTTCAACACTTAGTTCAACCCTGCTGCGTACCTTTTTGGACCGAGCCCATCCTGTTGGGACTGTGTGCTGGTGCTTTGGCCAGGGTCTCTGCATAGACCATCCTCTGCAACATGCCACAAGTGCTGAAGATGGCAATGACATTACATTCATGCTCTCCCTCTTTCTCTTGCAGTCTCTCCTATGGCATGCTTTGCTTGCCCTTACGCCTTACGCTGCTAAAATCACTGGCTTGCCAGCTCTTACCTAGCTAGCCAGTCGATAAAATAAGCTTTCCCGCGTAGGCCGGTCCTGCATTCAGTTTCATTCGGGGCACCACTTGGGGTGCTTTGGTCGCACGTATCCAGCCATGACTTGACCTGAGTTGTTCAAGACGTCAAGCACCTACAAAGCGACTCATCTGAACTCGAAAAGGTGAAAAGAACAAAACGACTCGAAAACGACCTGATCTGCATGAAAAGATTCAGTCTCATAATGAATGATAACACCATCTTCAATGACGGCATCCAACAAATGCGCTCCTCCGAAGCGCCCTCTGCGCATGAGTCCGGCCTGGTTCGATTGCAACCGCACTCGCACCCGTATTGCAAATGCAACTAGGACCAGCAAGCGTGCCGTCCTCTGAAGGTGCGAGCATCATCAGCAAAGAGTTCCACATCAGCAACGCATTGGAGGAGCCAGTGACCACCACCCAGGATCCTAAAACAATCAAATCAGCCAGCTCTACAGAGAGAGAGATGCAAGCGAATAAGGTATAAGTATAATTACACATGGAACATGCATATTGCCAATCTTTACTAATGATGTGTGATTTGCAATTGCACCTGCAATTGAATGCCCGCTATTCACCCAAACCACTTTCAGCATCGTTGCTTTTTCGGTGCCTCCAAGACATGCCGCTGCGTTTGGCAGTTCCCACCTTCGGCGTTCCAAGGGGGTCGCAGTGTGATCTGGACATTTCCACAGAACCTGCTCCCAAGACATTAGACAATTCCAGGGAACATGCTGCAGTCTGAGGCATCTGCACCCTGTATCGACATCCCGCATCCAACTTGAAGTTGCCGTCAACTTCGAGGGTCCCAAACATAGGCGGTTCAGCAATGTCAGTCTCGCAATGGGACACCTCCTCGCATGTTGCTAGTAGGTTGGAGGCCATCGCTTCTAGGTTGGAGGCCATCGCTATTAGATGCTATTGGCTTGGAATCATATTGTTCAGTCCTCAAAGCTGGAAACCACCTTGAGGCGGGCCACAGCGATGGCCTTCCCTTCACCAGCTGCGGTGTGCACCTGCACAGAGTTCGCGCAGGTCGCACAAGACCCATCGGTGGTCCCTGGAAACGCGGCCCACCTCAGCCAAAGGTGGCCCATCCGTAGGATATTTCTGACCGATGAGCGCATAGGAACTCCTGCAAACATGGATTCGTGCATTGAAGGATTCAAATCCTAGATCATCCATGTACATCATGTATTTCAGTCCTGTATCCGATCTCAGCAGCTAGTTGACTTCCGCACTGAGCCAACAGCACCCTCGCCTTTCAACCAAATCAACCAAAGACAGTTTCTGCCAGCAGTGCCATCTAGTGCCTCAGGACTCAGGCTGCTTGACGCTTCATCTGCAGCTCCAACGAGAATGATGTGCCCAACGGCCAGGGAAGACAAGTAGGCTTCCAATTCCGACGAGTCCTTGCAAGTCATCCGGGCAGAATAGAGAAGTAAAGCTGGGAAACGAACATGTTCAAACTCGTTTTCACTGCTCGACCCTTACACCAAGCGGCAGAATAGGTATCGAAGGTTTTGTTCAGTACCACCTCAACGGGCCACCAGGGCCACACCAACAAGGCCACGTCAAAGCTCAACTGAAAATGCCAAGTTGCTGTGGAGCTGTTTGGCAGCAGCTCAACCACAGTCAAACCCCGTGTGCCAGTTGCGTATAGCAGGTCGCCATTCCTGCTGACAGCGTTGAGAGAGAACTGACAATTGGGTGCAGACCTAATTGTGAATAATTATACATGAATAATCATGAATAAATAAATATATATATATATAACTGGATCTCAATGGATCTCCTCCTGAAAAACAAAAAACGTCTACAAAATCCTGAATTGGCTTCATCACTGCTCCCCTGCGGCTTCCAACCGTCGCCAAAGTTTCCGCAAACGACGAGGGGGTGCGACCGAGAGTCATCCAAAACTCAGCGCGGTTTCCATCAGACCAGCCAGCACTTCGCACCGCCACACCGTGCAGTGCTGAGCCTGTCAAGTCCTCACAGCATGTGGCCTTGGAGAGCTGTGAGTAAACATGGGCCGTGGTGGGGTGGCCATTGTTTTCAACTGCTAGGATGCCTAAACATGGGCCGTTGTTCCTTCTGTTCTTTGTGGTTTGGTTCTCAATGCATTTCCCTCTCAAGCAGGCAATCTTGCCTGGTCCAGGAACTGATGAAGATCTTCCACATGGTTTGAATTTGGACATTGCCAAGTGGCAAGAGAACTGCCTGCAGACTTCAGTGTAGCCATGTTCAATGCAAATCCAGCTGGACAATTGAATTCTTCGCCTTGCGCACGCGGCCAACCCCCGCAGGCGACGCCCTCCTGACCATGCTTTCAGGGGTCTTTGATGATTCTTGGAGTTCGTGGCGCACGCCCTACCCTGCCCCACCCGATGGCACTTTCAGCTCAACAAGTCAGTGGCCCGGAGCCATCATTAAGGTCACTTCCTGCCTGCACATGATCATGACGGCAGCCAAGTCGCATGCTGGCAGCTCTCCACAAGGGCTGCAAGCTCCAAAGCAAACGTGGACTTCCTGTGGGAGACCATCTGTTGCCACCGATATGTACCGATTGAAGTTATTCGAGTCCTTGCAAGCAAGAATGGGAGGAGTACTGCTCCGTTCAGTGAGTTTTAGCTTATCTAGCATGATTGGTTAAGAGATGTTGCGAGTAGGGCCCGGTGTGGCCCTTTTCAGTTGGCAAACCAATTAGCCTTCTGGATGAAAGCCCTGCACTCGAAGATTCGAGGACTGTTTCGATTGAAAGTCAAGAAGCCAGTTCACTGCAGGCTTCAGGAACGGTCTCCGCTTCTTCAAAGCTATTGCCATTGATGAATTTGAACCTTCCACAACGTCTACAAAACAACGTCTACAAAACACACTTCGAGCAAGCGAGCTAAGGGGGATGCTCGTGACGACCAGCTGCTAGATCCAATGTGATTTCCTGAGCATCGAGAATGCCTAAAAGAACAAAGCAAGCTCTCAATCACGATACTCCCAAGGCGGTGGTCGATGAAACACATATGAACAGTTGAACACGTGATGCCTGGAATTGATCTTGGACGATTCTGGTCTGCTGGTTCACCAAGCTGCGAAAGTCCCATCCATATCAGCATCCTCCAGGGCCTCAGGTAAACTAACTGCTGGTAAGGGAACCTCTTAGATTGTAGGGTTCTACGATGCCCAACCAATCTAAACAACTGACAGCGCTCAGCACAAGAAAAGTTGCTGTGGATGAAGGATTCCAATCTTGGAAACTTCCGGCCACGTGGACACCTTGCGGAGCCACGGTGAGACCACCAAGGCCTACCTGCGGCAGGAACAGCGCACAGGAAGAGACCCATCTTGGAAAATGTTGGAGGAGGAACTCAAATGGATATGGCTTAAAAACCAAGCAAAGGGGCACACACCCGGGGTATACCCGGGGTGTGCCCCCAAACCCCTGTTTGGAAATCATGGGCCCTGCAAGACCAAACCCACAAAGGCAACCCAGCAACACAAGCCCCTCCTTGAATGTCACCGGAGCACACCAAACAGCGATAGATTGCAGCAGAAGTGTAATGGCCGTCCGCATCGCTAGTGTGCGGTACATGGCAAGTTCGATCTCGAAGAAGAACTTCTTTGCAAATTTGCAAACCCATGCAAATCCTTCAATCTGAAATCTACACGTGATCTAGACGTGGTCGAGTTTCAGCTTTTTTTGCCGGAAGGCCTTCACGTAGGAAACTATAATTGCTTCAAGACACAGCTGCAGTCTTTGACTATGTTCTTACCCATGTGCCGTTCACCACAAGCAAATTATGAAGGGACTCAAATCCCACAAACCCAAAGAACCAGCGGTCACATGTTCCCCCAAGCATCCTAGCCGGAACAAGCCTCTTTTGTCAAACGGGTTCCGCCGCGCACTGCCGAAATGTGTGGTGTGAAACCGCGAACAGTCCCATTGATGCAAAGCATGTTTCGCTAGTGTTACGTGGTGACATCTTTGTGTTCAGTGTGTCCTAAACCTGGGCGAAACATGCAGTATTTACAAGATTCTACAAGCACACAGGGACATGAAACTGCGAATTTCAGCTTTGCCGTGCGTGTTTCGGCACCCTATCAACTGAATCTACTCAAGGAGGGAACGGTGATGCCTTCGGTGCATGCGATCTCAATACAAGGAATCCACCATGAATATCGAACACGAAGAGTGAACGGCTCGAAGATGACACCAGGCTCAAGAAGATGCTTTAGTCCCGGAGAAAAACCTTTTGGTCAGCAGTCTGGAGTCTCCGCAGGCCAATCGCACACCTTTTTCTACACAAAAACCATTGCCGCGCATGTTATAGTGCTTAGGACTGTCTCCAAATGTCCGCGTACAAAACAGGAGCAGGACAGCGTTTTGTTCAGTGTCATACTTGGCATGCAATGTGTCCGATCAAACCGTGTAGTGTCGACCCTGCTCATGGTGCACCAAATCACTCAGGCGTACTTGAAATCTGGGTAGAAAATATAAGGACCTCAGCCATAGGATTGGCCACATGCCGATTTGCAAAGGGCACTTGCAGGATCTGGTGGCAGCATGGCCAAATCCATGCAGGTGAGTCACGGCGACGTCGCATCTGTGGACCTTCAATGTAGGTGGTTCCGGCATTGAACCTAAAACCATCATCCGCGAGAACTTGCGGAAAGAGCATATCGCTATTAGGTTGGAGGCCATTGTTTGTAGGTTGGAGACCACAGCTTGTAGGTTGGAGGCCGAAAGAGGTGAAACAATCTTTGACACACTTACCCCTACAATGCAAGTCTTGGGCCAGCAACTTGGCTTGATCCCACTGGCATTTCTGAATCTCCTTGGCTACGAGGTTTCAACACCATCACAGCTTGCCATCAGCTGGTATCATACTGCTTCATATCAATATCATATTTCACAATCATACCCCATGAAACTGTTACTATATCATCCAACAAGTGTCATCCCACCACTTCATGCATTTCTTGGCTGCGACTTCCGGCTGGTTGTGGAATTGGTGGGCCTTTGAATGCCAAAACACATATCATCAAACTTGACAGATTGCAAGGAATACGCGCAATGCATAAAATTCACAAGCAAGGAGAGAAAGTGTGAACCATGTGCATCCAACGCACGTTCAAACAACGGAACTCCTCAATCTGCAAATACTTGCAAGCATCCTTTGGAGCATCCTGAAGCGATCCCTCGAATTCATCATATTGTTTGTTTGTGTGGGGGAATGTATATATAATGATTGCCAGATTGATCTCATGTCATTCCCAAATCCATGAACATGCTCATAGATGGAATTGCTCACCTATGTTCCGCTATGACAGGCCGCTTCTTAGTACAACCACCAGCGTCGCTCCTGATGCACCTTCGCAGAAAAGTCCGCAACGGCAAGGCGGATGTCGTCAGCAGACTTTGGCGTGGTACACTTCCTCAAGGCTCGGTGTGCAGAATCTCTGGCAGTCTAAGCGAAAGCTAGGAACCTACTAGCGATGCCTTCCAACCTAAAAGCGATGGCCTCCAACCTACTAACGTACTAGTGATGGCCTCCAACCTAAAAGCGATGGCCTCCAACCTACTAGCGATGGCCTCTAAGCGAAAGCTAGTTTACAATGTTTACATACACATCAGTGTGTGCTTTCTAGCTGCTCTGGCATGTACAGTCCATGGTGGTAGGCCACGGCACCTTGGAGGCAAGCTTTGGGCCAAGGAACGGCTTTGATCCGCATCCAAGGAGACCCACCGACATACCAACATAGATGTGGGAACCGATCACACATGGGGTCTCAAACCCTAGCTAAATGCGAACATGATCAAGCCATGTGGCTTCTGCGTTTTCTCCAATTAAACTACAGCCTGCGCATTTCTGTCCCACCAAGTCAAATCCCAAATCTAGCCAGACTCAGACGTTCAGCAAAGTCACGCTCCCAGTTGGAGGAGTACTGAGGCTTCTCAGGCACATGGATGGGCTTTGCACTTGCGAAGTGCCTGATTAGGGGGCAAGATTTGGCACAGGAAAATGGGGTAAAGGGCAACACCGCTTATATTGATCCACTGAGGTATCGTTCAAAGGACTGAGCAATTGACTCTTTGTATTGTTCTTCGGTCAGCGGGAAGATGTTGAGCTGGTTTGCCAGGTCAAACTCGGCCTGCGAAAAGCTCTGCCCAGCCAAGTCCTATCTCTCCCTTCCAAGGAAATCTTAACAACCTTGTTGGCAAGGGCTTCCTGGTCACAATGATCTCAATGTGTTCAACAACTTGCCAATTGTTCTTTTGGGTTGGGCGATCCGATGGCTTCACTCAAGCCGGCTGAAGCAGGTCTGAACCAATCCGGGGATGCCAAAGGTATGTAAACACTGAATCCACTAGAATCCACTATATAGTTCATTTCTGCTGGATGGGACAAGCTCGCTTCAGCCGCCCACAACAGCCGAGTGGCCGCGAATGGCCCTGCGGGTCCGTCATACTTCTTGAAGCCTTGGTCCTGCGTGTAGCCGTGCGTGAGACACTCCGAAAACACCATAGAAACACTTGAAGCATGGTACAAATCTAAAATTGACTCCTGATCCATCTTCGGGGTGAGAGGCACCTGCTTGGTGTACTCCGGGAAGGCTGTTGGGTGAGTCTTGGCCGAAGGCCCCTGGAAGCAAACCCCATCAAACAACCAACTGAGGTGCAAGCTTGTGTTGAGCCGTTTGTACATTGAATGATCCTCTCAGGCTTGCCTCGCATCGCACCGTTCCGTGCCTCAAATTCATTTTTCAGGTGAGCCCAAGCCAATGTGCTCAATGTTTGCCACCAAGGAGCTGGTTTCCCATCCTGGTTGATGGTAGACGTTGGGAGGAATCTACACAGGAACCGAAGAGGCTTGAGCCTTCCATGCATGTACTTTTAGATCGGCAGTCCTGATGATGTCCTGATGGCTCCCACGGTTCAAAACATATTGTGCGTGGTCCCGTGGCTCGACATGATGTGTTTTCATAGTTCATCAAGTCTCACAAGCATGCCACGCTAGTAGTAACAAGTGCCTTACTAGTAGTAACAAAAAGCTATTAGAATTAAAATTAACTACTAGCTTCATGCTTCAACACATCTGGCGGATCAGCACAGATCTCTCTTCCAGGTGATCTTAACAAAGACGCCAGCCTTGGATCCGATGGTCGACTGGCTGTCCAACCTGCCCAATGATCCTTCACATGATGTCAAGTCTTCAAAACCCAGAATAGCTCTCACCAAGAAGTCATTTCAAAGAAGCAAAGTGAATGTCAAATGACCATGGTGCTCAAAAAGAGTTTGATGTCTTTGCAGTTGCAAGGCACCTATCAAGGGGTTGCGGTTGCAACGAAAAAAAAGTTCAGAGTGCTGCTGTTGGATATGTTCTTCAAACAGGTCGCGGCCACGCTGGTGAAGGATGTGACGGTGAGCAAGTGCTGGTAACCTCACATCATTCAACAATGTTTAGGGGCACCACGTGAACATGCGTGTCGACGTTTGCTCCGTGCTGCCGATGCTGAGGGCTCCACGCTGACATTGTCATTCAAGTGCTCTGCTTCTGTCCTTAGCGCAAGGCCAGAGAAGGAAAGCTTAAACCAATGTGACCTCGGGAAGAACAGGGAGCAGACCGTCCAACGTTTCCATCCCCAAACCCCTGACCTTAGTGCCGAAGAGAAGTCGAGCTTTGAAGGATGTCCAACCAAATCCTACACTCCGACTCACTAACATGGAAATGGACAATGGCCACTGGGACACTGGGAAGACCATTTTCCTCTACAAACAAATGGTTTTCCACTTCCATATTACATATGTTACTGTTAGTGAGTCAAAGGGTAATCATAATCAAATGTAATCTATACTTCTTCCATCTTCTTCCCATTTTGGTTCGCTGCTCTTGGGACCTGACTAACTGGCTCTGTTTCTGCCGCCCTGGATGGCTCAGCCTCCAGGCTTGGAACGGGGACTTAAAGCCTCTGCCATTGGTGTGGATTGATCCGAACCACATAAGCGACACTACCAGCGATGGCCTCCAACCTAGTATTCAAGCGTCCACTCAAAACTGTTTCCATATGTTTCCTTCGAACCAGCCCCATGACCTTCATTGGCCTACAAAATGCATCAAGTTACAATGGCCTACACCTCTCAGGTCGGCAACCCTGTTCACTTCGCACATTGTGTCCTAGTCCTAGCCTCGCCATCTGAATCTGCAGGCAGCACAGCACACCGCCAGGGGCCGGAGTTCCTGATCATCCCCCCACATCAGTATCGTCCGCTCAGTTCTTATCACTGAGGTGATGACAAGTTGGCTGGGAAAAGGCCACACCCGACCTGAACGGGTGGCCGTTTTCTCTCACTTGGCCATCACCCCGACGAGTCATCTTCTTGGCCGGCGGCCGCGTGCGACTCAGAGACTTCGTGAGCCAATCTTGGAGCACCAGTTCCACATAAGCAGACCTGTGATGCACATCCATCAAGAAGCTACTAGGGGCTCCTGGCCTTGCTATTAGAAGCGAGGACTCTCAACCCTAAACCGTGTTGACGCTGACGCTGACGCAAGGTGATCGACGCTGATGGGACGCCCCCACAGCAAGGCTAAGCCTTTGGGATGAAGCACCTCATCCAGGCTCAGTGTGGTCAGCGCACTATTGAGAAATTAAAAAAAAAGATGGAACCCACGAACCCGAATGCAAACACGATCGAAAAACTAATATGTCCAAAGGACACTCTTGTAGGACACTCTTGCGGGACACTCTGTAGGACACTCTTGTAGCACACTCTTGTGGGCCACTCTTGTAGGAAACTCTTGTGGGACACTCTTGTAGGACACTCTTGTGGGACACTCTTATAGGACACTCTTGGGGACACTCTTGTGGAACACTCTTGTGGGACACTCTTGTGGGACACTCTTGTAGGACGCTCTTGTGGGACACTCTTGTGGGACACTCTTGTAGAACACTCTTGTGGGTCACTTGCAGGACACTCTTGTGGGACACTCTTACACGACACTCTTGTAGGACACTCTTGTGGGACACTCTTGTAGGACACTCTTGTAGGACACTCTTGTCGGAAACTCTTGTGGGACACTCTTGTGGGACACTCTTGTGGGACACTCTTATAGGACACTCTTGTGGGACACTCTTGTGGGACACTCTTGTAGGACACTCCTGTACGACACTCTTGTGGGACACTCTTGTGGGACACTCTGCGGGACACTCTTGTGGGACACTCTTGTAGGACACTCTTGTGGGATACTCCTGTAGGACACTCTTGTGGGGCACTCTTATAGGACACTCTTGTGGGACACTCTTGTGGGACACTCTTG